TCTAGATGTGTATAAGAGACGGCTATGAACCACAACATAGCGGGCTTATACTATGTATCCAGATGATATTGTGCGTTAGATGTACAAATACAGTACAGTTAAAAAGTCAGGAGAAAGTATTTTTCATTCATTAAAAATGCATTAATCATTTTTTATGTGCATATTTTAATTTTTAATTACAAAATTGTTGGCTGGTAATCACTAACGGCCAACTCAGATAGTGTTGTACAGTATGATGCGGCCTGACACGATTTAGGTCGTTGTGAGAATATTAAACATGTTTTAATATTCTATGATGCGACTGTACCCAATGCCGACCTGTTGTTAGCTCACGCAAGCTTGACATGACAACAAATCGCGTCGGGCTTCATCATACAATGGCCTTAAGGAGTTTTATAAAAAGTCTGCTTAGAAAGAGAAATGTTTTTTCAGTTGTAATTTTCATAATTTTCCTGCGGTTTCCAGTCATCTTCAGCTCTAGTACACCGTTGGTTGAATGATTGATTAACTACTGTGGGTAGTAATTTTTTTTACTTGATAATGTCCATATCATTATGTGGTTTGTATTTACTTCCTTCTAGGCCTTCAGTATCCTCTTATTTGTGGACTTGTTGCAGAAAGGTCAAGCCTACCTCCTCAGCACTCCAGAGGTAATTTATTGATTTATAATTACATTTGATTAAATATTTCTTATATCCTCCAGTACTGTATAAGCCCATTGAACCTCATGTATAAGCCCGCCCCTGACTCTACCTAGTCACTATTGACAGGCAGAACATTTAAAATTGTAACAGAACTTGTTTTTTAATTATAAATAGTGATAATTCTTCTGTTGTGAAGTAATCATGGAATAGGTAGTAGATTTTATAATAATTATATTTGTTCTGTTTTTTTTTTTTTACTATTTAGAAAGATCTTGAGGCAGTTCCATTAAATGAGCTGTTCAGTGATGATGAGGAGAATGACAGTCAACCTTCTGGAGATGGTACTGTAGCTTCTCTGTTTGATTTATTAAATGTTTCCTTAATGTATTGTATGTTTTTTTATCAAAGACACTTAATCTACTGTATCCATAATGGACCTTTCCACTAAGCCCCACCACTTGGATAATTGTTGCTGAGGTCCCACAAAATGACAGTGTAAAAAACATGTGCGTTTGTTTGACAACACATGCTTTTGTGAGGCGTGTGCTTATTTCTAACTGTGTTCTGATTGGTCAGTTGTTAAGTTTGATTGACATTCCAGAAAGATCCATTAGACTTTCGTTGATATACCGTAATGGTATAATTGATTTTATTAATGATTAGCGACCTTTATAAAACGCTCTAGGCCCTATGCCAGAAAACCAACCCCATAGCACATACTAATAGTCATAATCAATCATCTATCAATTATCATCAATTGCACTGATTGGTCGATATCAGTCATGACTACCTCACAATGGGCTATATCCCAAAATTACAGTAGCACAAATTATCAGTCAAAGTCGATAGGCTTTAACAAAACACAATATTTTGTAAATTAATTTATGACTGCACTTTGAACAAAATTTGAAGTAGATAATCCATCTTATAGTGAACAGTGATTGTACTGTATATACTGTATAAATGAAATGTTTTATATCTTCTTGATGGGAAGGAATTGGTTATTTGTTTGGTCAAAATAATGTCACCAACAGAGTGCTATGTTTACATATACAAAAGCTCATGTGCATTTGCAAGTTCGTAGACCCATGCTGGAGTATTTCAAATCTATATTTTGTTAGCTTGTACTAAATTTCTGAATTCCTTTCATTTTTCTAATGAAGACTCATCCATAGACAGGAATATTTTTCTGTGAAGTCTACTTCTACTAAGTGTACTAAAAACTGTTTTATAATTGATTTATTTTGTTTTCAAGTAATATTAATAATTACATGAAAATCTATATTTGATATTTTCATTGATGTATACCTTTTCTTGCAGACATGAGAGAGTCGCTTGAGGGTGAGTTTGTGAAGTTATTGTTTAAATTTTTAATTTATTTTGTGTAAAATACATGCAATTCTTTGGTATGTTATTGAGTCTCATTCTCAATTGTAAAACAGATACTAGTGACAATAATTAGGCCATAAAAAAAAATCTCTTTTATGTTGCTCAAGCATCGTATAATTTAGGAGTCAAGGTGGGTTTTGTTGGGTTTTTTTGTAACTGTAAGCCTGGGCCTAATTAATATTGATTTCTTTATACTGGTTATCCTCTTCAGTAGATATCTACTGTTCTCCCACAGGGGCCAGATATGCTTTAATAACCAAGTCTTATAATGAACCTTAGGGATTGGAGTTGTTTTAGTCATGAGTAAAAATTATGCTGTCAGAGGATTTGAACCCAGGACACAGGAATTGAAACCCCTAAGCTATTCAACTCCACCATTCATTGCCAATGTCACTCACCCATGCATCAACTGGGGATTTTAAGATAGGAAATGTATTAAAGTTTTTTCAAAGTTAGAACATCATAGTGTTTTGAACTCTTACAATTTTTTCCCCTTACAATTCTGACAATGTGAATGATGAAATGTAAATAAAAATTTCTTTTGCTCTATGTAACATGGAGACATCGTATCCATTGAGGCTTCATCTAGTACCCCTTCTGTTGCAAAGAAGAGTGTATCGCCTAACCTACACACACTTGCCCATCTGTTTCTTCAGTGGCCAGTTTTAATAACAGCCAATGATATTCTTCTTCTGTCTAACTTGTAAGTGTATAGGAAATCTCTTGGGTGTTATTTGGTCTATTATCCCGCATGTTGATGTCATGTTGTATTATATAGTGGTTGCTGGCACAAGTGTTAGGTACAAGTGGATCCAGGGGACACAGGCTAAATTGGTGAATTTGGAAACATTCCTTATTTTAAAGTCTTTTTTCCTAGTTTCATCCCATTAGGCCAAAAAAAGAAAATTTTTGTGTTGGCCACGTTTTGGGTAAATCCCAAAAATGGGTAGGTCGGTAGGAAAAATTTTTGTTTTTTTTAACCAAAAATGTGTTTACGCATAAAAATTAGAAAACACAAACATAATACAAAAATTTTGGATTCGCATCGCATACCATGCACCAAAATAGGCTAGGCCTTTGCCCCCTATCCTAGTCCAAGGCTATTCTAGCCTGATAAGCTCATGAAAAAAATATTGTTCCTTGTTAAAAAAAAAAAAAAAAATGCTAAAATGTAGACCCTGAATTTCATAAAATTTGGGTCAGTCGGGTGTGGCCAACACAATAATTTTTTTTATTTGGCCTTACGCCAAGGCATAAAGGGCACCGCCATAATAATAATAATCATTCCCATCAACTTTAATAAAACACAAACAAAAAATACCGTATATATTTTTTGTTTGTTACTTCCGCGTTCTTCCCTGAACCTCCAGGGTTAGAGTTCACATTCTGGCGACCATCCCACCAAATTCACGTGTAATAAAACTGTGGTATGTTTAGACAGGTGCAGATGTATTAAATCCTTTGCCTTTGACTTATTGCTATCAATGATTAAACTAGTAACATTAGTTACTCAATATGCATTTGGTAGTTTTTCTGGTTGTTTTGTATGGTGATCAATATTTATGAGCTTGTCGGATAAAAATTCTTTTACTACAGCTCTGTAATAATCCAGGGGAATTGGAAGCAGTTGAATGATAGAGGGGACTGAGACAAATGATTAGGGTAGCAGCTAAAGCCCTGTTTTCTCCCCCTTTCAATTCCCCTGGCCTCAGTTCCTGATGTTTTAAAAACCTGGATCCACAATAGTCCATATATTTTATTAAATACATTTTAGTTACTTGTATTTTTAGGCTGTGGTCTGTTTAATGCATGGTTTTCAAAACCTTTTTAAAAATCTTTAGTGTAGACTACATAAACTTTATTAGTTCTAAGTAAACAAAACAGATATTTACAGTTACCCTACAATTTTTTTTATTTAAGAAGACAAAACATTTCTCTTGTAGTTGTAGTTGTAGTTGTAAAATAACTGTGTAATGCACATTTATCAATTTTCATTCACTAGTCTCCTTTTTAGTTTACTGTACTACTATATCAATGATTGTTGTTTCAGTCCCCTTTTTAATGTACAGTACAGTACTACTGTATTAATTGTTGTTGTTTTGTTATTTATTATTTTATTTATTATTATAATAATTTTTATTTTCAATATTATTGTTATTAATATTTTCTGTTCCCTGCCTGATATGTGTCTGTTGTCTTCCTGGTTCTAGGTATCAAACGCAAAAACATGTCAAGATATGAAGAAAACTCTAACATAGTTAACCTGCACAAATTGTCTGAATTGTACATGCCATTTTATTTATGGATGCCTTTTGATGCAACTGTGTTTTTTGTGCTGTGAGTCCACTGTTTTATTTGTGTAATCATAGAGAAAATGTGTTCTCCCTCCAATTAAAGACCACTTGGGACCAGGGTTTCCATGGCCTGTAGCAGCTTTAATCTCTATTTAGAACAATAAAGATAAAAGACTTTCGTGAATATGGGACCACAGAAATGTCATATTTGGAGGTGGTCTTTAATTAGGGTGATTTTTAGTAGATGAAGAACTGTACCAGATGGTTGATATTGAATGTACTAGGATGATTGGAAAATCACAATTTCCAATTTTCTATTCAACAAGTAGAAATTAAATTACCTTTAATAAATTCTACCAATAAATGCTAGTAAAATAGTATATTTCATGAATTTATTTAAGTATTAATTATATTTTTGTTCTCAGCATAGCAGTCGTTATAAGTTTCTCCCTGGCAGGAAGTGAAGCCTTTGCACAGCTGTTTGGAATAGAGTAAGATCAAAGATTCACTTACACTCAATTTACGTAAGACATATGAAACCGACTTTGGAAAAACCCACCATTTGTCACAATTTTTTATTTCCCACAAGCACCCAAAACATTCAGGAACCAGAATTAATTTTATTAAAAATACAAATCTTAATAATAAACTATTGAATTTGGAATCATTGGAAGCTGTTTTCTCAAAAGTTATATGGCTGATATCCAATGAATTAAATATTCATAACTTTGCTATTATACCAATTTCCATCAAATAAGCAGTGTTTTAAAGAAGAATTCAGGCAGAATCAAGAACACCAAAAAGTCAACTTTGAATTTTTTTTTCTACAAACGGCTGGTTTTGCCAGAGCCGGTCACAAATGTTACTCAGGATGTGTTGAGTGCTTAATCTAACACAACTGGGTTGAAACCTTGTTAAATGTCGGAAGAAATAATACGCCGACAGTAAAGATATGTGTAACACAACAGTTGAAAAAGCTCCACAACATGAACATGAATACAGGTCATGTTAAATTTGTCAAGAGTGTTATTAGGCCTCTGCAATGTCTGTTTTTCATACTTGTACTTGATGTAGCAAGAACTGCCTAAATTTTCCCTAGCTTGGTCCTGTGTAACATTTTTTACAGGGCTGTAGCCAGAGAGGAAAGACACGGAGGCAAGCCAACATTTGGGATGGGGGATGGGCAAGCATGCACTGAACATTGCTGCATGGAGTTTAATGAAAGAAAGAAGATTTAAAATGGACTGGTACTTTCACCAATAAAGAAATTAATAGTAACTTTAGTGTCAATGCTTTTAGTTCTAGTACCATAACATGTAATTTAACGGTATTTTTTTGTAGGAATTTCATTCATGTGATTCCGTTCTTTGTCTGGATACAAGCCTTCAGCATCGTTATATTTGGCGATATAATCAAGGTCGCAATAACGTTTCTAACTCTCTTCAAAGGTTGCATTCTGGTAGCTGTGGTAGGTCATTTCCATTGTGAATTCATATCAGTGAGCTACACATTTATTTATGCACATGTTCATTTAATATTCAGCATCATCATCAATCCATCCCAGTACAAGACAGTTGTGTAACCAGCAGGGTGTCTGGGTAACATTACCAACAACAATTTATTTTATTATTTGTTATTAAAGATTTGTCACAATACATATAAATATATATTGGCGTGACTAGAGATGACATGGGCTAAAGCCCAACACATCAAGTGGTCATCTCTATACCTCTGGCTAATAATAACAATTGAATAATAATAACAATATATATTTATTCACAGGTGGTAGCAACAACTGGTGTTGGAGCTGAGATTGACAATCCTATTACTAATGATTTTAAACATTTTGGCCCATCCTTTCTTCTGGGTACTGTTGCCTTAGGTATGTACTGATAAATACATGCATTGCCATGTCAAGTATAATTAGCTTGGAAATCTATTACAACAAAACTCATTTAACCACAAATACATAAGTATGTCCATATATAGTAGCACTGGAGTGTTTATTTCTCCTTATGGTACTAATTTATTGTTGGCGTATTTTTCATTACCAGGAGGTGTTATGAATATCTTACCCATTCTGTACAACAAAGTGGAGCCTGTTAAAGAACAAGTAAGATAGATATTTATTATTATTATTACTATTATTATTATTATTATTGTTATTATTATTATTATTGATTAAATTAGTGCCAAAATGTATACATACTGTCTATTTTAGCTAATAAATTTAAAGAAAAAAGTTTAAAGTTACAAATACTTTATATTTAAATAAATTATGAGCTTTCAATACATTATTTATTATCTATTCAATATGTTAATTAAATTTTTTAAAATTTTTCCCAATTTCACCAAAGACAAAATGTTTTTAATGTGAACAGATTTGCTGTATTTGTTGTAATTTGATTGCTTTTATAAAATACTTTTTACAGGTGCAATGTTTCTTCCTTGCTGCATTTGGTGGACTAACAACATGCATGATTCTCAATGTGTTATGGTCAGTTGCTCATATATCCCTGTTTTTTACAGAGAAGGCTAATAGAGCACTTCAATAACAATATAAAATGGTGGTGGTGGTCTATAGCTCAGCAAAATGAAAAGTAAAAAAGCTGATGGACGAGACAACACACTCACTAAGATAGTAATGGAATTCGCATATGAACTCAGCAAGCCACTCATAGTCATCCTAAATCAATCATATTTGTTATTTTGTTTTTTATTTCTTTAGTCTAGTTTTTTATTCCAAACATTTTAAACCTGTAAATTATCCATTTTAATAACCCTTTTATACTTTTTTTTTAATGCTCTTATTTGTAAATTGTGTAAATTTTTGGTCATTTTTGTATATATTTACCAATGGATGTATGGACTGGTGATGTTTACATTTTTATATTTTATGTATGTTTATTGTAAATATTGTATTTATTGAGTGCTTGCACTGCAAGAGCAATATTAATAAACCTTGAATTGAATGATGATGATGTAGATGATTAATGGTGGTGGTAATGGTGATGGCTCCAGTGACAGCTGCATCAATAACAGCAGCAACTGCGATGACAAAGAAAACTATGATGATAAGGAAACTCAAGAATTTTCAATCACCATTATTTAATTCCAGGGTTTTAGCTGTTCTTCATATTGTACCTCAAACTGATGCTGAATGTGGTGGAAAATATTCTGAATTAGCTAACGAAAATGAAACCTCAACATCGTCACATCTAGTGACAA